GAAAGAAAGAAAGAAAGAAAGAAAGAAAGAAAGAAAGAAAGAAAGAAAGAAAGGAAGAAAGAAAGAAAGAAAGACCAGGTATATCTCTGACCAGTAGTCACTATGCTGGCATGCTGACCTCTATGAGTCCATATGCCTTCTGATTTTTTTCCAAGACAGATGGAGTTTATGGAAATGGGGCAAATCAGCTGAACCTACAAGATTCTTCTGAGACAATACACATATGGAACAAGCAGCAACAAACTCCAAATACAGGGCATGATCAGTTTTGATGTGAAACATCAGTTTAGTCAAAATAAGTGCATGCATTCTGCCAAACCAAACAGGTCAAATTCATTTCTAATCTGACAGTAGTTAATTTTGCCAAGAAAAAAGGCAAAATGGGCTGAGTTCAAGAGACCATAAATGTAGTGATGGAGGTGTAATGTGATCCCACACGTCTCAGTTCCTTATTTGGTTCATACTTTTATTCTCTTCAGAGGTGCTCCCTTCTGAGGCGCTGTTGGGTGTATTTGTCCCATCTGCTAAGCCTGGGGGACTTTTGCTCTCCACCTGCACAGGTGGTGTTGGGGAAGTTTCTGTCACTCCTGGGAAAGGCTGCTCTGCAAGTTCCTTCGTGGGGCTTTCCTGCATGTAAAACATGCAATGGGTACAATTAGTTCACATCCTGAGGGGGAAAAAACTGTATTTTTCTGCTATTAACCAGGACATCCTCTAAAAAATCAAAAGTTCTCATTTATTTAGTGCCTTCAACCCTCAAGAAGCTGTAACCATAACAACCTCCTCCCTCTTCCATGGTTCATTTCTATGCTAATTAAAAAATGTGAGGTCTAACTTTAGGTTAAGGCTTAGCTTGAATATGTGGTTCATTTTAGTCTGGACTATGTAGGGCTACTAAATCCAGGTTCAAAATTCCAGGCAACTACTGACAGCCAAGAGTTAGAGTTTTCTGTATCTCCATGCTGTTATCTAGTATTCGTATAAAGCCCAGTTCTGGTGGCCCTATTTATAGTCATGCAGTTGCTGCCCTCCCAACCTCTTGCTCAGCTAGGAAGGCCTTAACCGTGTTTGCTGGGGTCATGGGACTTGTATTACACGAGGGTAGGAGGTTAGAGGAGACTGGCTGATAATATTATGGCTGAGATTATGAAATATTACAATCAGAAGCCAGTAAATAATCAGTTGATGTACAGTACTGTGGAAAAGCTTTAGGCAGGTAGGAAAAAATGCTATAAAGTAAGAATGCTTTCAAAAACATATATTGTAATTGTTTATGTTTATCAATTTACAAAATGCAAAGTGAGCAAGCAGAAGAAAAACCCATGTCAAATCAATATTTGGTGTGATTACCCTTTGCCTTCAAAACAGCATCAATTCTTCTAGGTACACTCACACACGGTTTTTGAAGGAACTTGGCAGGTAGGTTGTTCCAAACATCTTGGGGAACTAACAACAGATCTCCTGTGGATGTAGGCTGCCTCAAATCCTTCTGTCTCTTCATGTAATCCCAGACAGACTTGATGATGTTGAGATCAGGGCTCTGTGGGGGCCAAACCATCACTTCCAGGACTCCTTGTTCTCTTTTACGCTGAAGACAGTTCTTCATGACATTGGCTGTACGTTTGGGGCTGTTGTCCTGCTGCAGAATAAATTTGGGGCCAATCACACGCCTCCCTGATGGTATGGGCAGGTAGGTTGTTCCAAACATCTTGGGGAACTAACAACAGATCTCCTGTGGATGTAGGCTGCCTCATATCCTTCTGTCTCTTCATGTAATCCCAGACAGACTTGATGATGTTGAGATCAGGGCTCTGTGGGGGCCAAACCATCACTTCCAGGACTCCTTGTTCTCTTTTACGCTGAAGACAGTTCTTAATGACATTGGCTGTATGTCTGGGGTCATTATCCTGCTGCAGAATAAATTTGGGGCCAATCACAGGCCTCCCTGATGGT